AAAAAAACCTAAGTGTAGTCCGATTTCTACTGTATGTGCAGTGTCCATGCTGAAATGAGGTATGGTTTACAAAGAATTTATGTGAGTTTTTTGGTTTTTATTTGTGTCCTGTTAAATATTTTTATATATATTTAGTTAGCTGAAGAGGGGCTGATGCCCGAAACGTTGATGTATGGAAAAAACGTTCTAACTAAATAAAAGATTCAACTAGCCCAGTGTTGAGAAAAACGTCACTTCATTGTGCCTGTACACAATAAGCAAATACAACACGGTTTCGACAACATCAGAAAATTTGATATTAAAAATATTTGATGAGCAGATCACTTAAAGGTGATCTGAAGCCTAAGTATTACTTACATGTCTATGTAAATAGATCACTTAAGGAAATTTTAAATTGTAAATTTACAATTTAAAAAGATTTTTAATTTACATATATAAGCTAAAAAAATTACTAGATTTTTATTACAAGTCTATATATCAACAAATTAAAAATTAACTATTTGCAGTAGTTAAAACCAATGTTAGCAAAATTATCACTTACCAAAAATGAAATAATTTAGATTAATTTTTTTACATTTAAAAATGACCGGAAGAAAAATCTTCTTATAGCAAGCTTAGACTCAAAAACTTTCAAGTCAGTAAAGTTATATAAATACTTTAAGCTGAAAGTTTTTCACCAACTCTAAAAATTCCTGAATTAATTTTAGAATTGCAAAAGATTAAGCCTTGCCATGTTAATAATTTTTTACATATATATTCAATGATGTTCAGTTGATATCAATTTAGACCAGGAGCCTCTTAAATTTATTTTGACTATCAATCTTTTCAACAACTCTCCTTTCTTCTTTTAGTAATACGGTAAATAATAATAATAATAATAATAATAATAAATAAATTTAGTAAGCCAATATTAATCCACACACTGTTTTCATAGAAAAACATCTACTTATGGCATCAAATTTATATCATCCTAAACTGCCATATACATAATCTATTGCACTAATAATTTTAAAAGAACCATTTTCAATCAACCTTGACTAATTTTCAACCACTAAAAATGCCTTAATGACACACGGGATTCATATCAATCACTCTGACACTTGTGTTAAGACACTCCTGCATAACATGCTAGTTTGTAGACATTTAATTTTAAAACTGAGATATTTCTAAATTAATTAATAACAATTTACTTAAATTTTTTGACTATACTATAATTAACACCAAAGTACTTTAAATCATTAATTTCTATTTAGGCAACATAATACCAATACTAAAACTCCAACAATGAACCTTGTAACATTGGCAATTATGTTCATATGCAGTAACTTCCACACCAACTAGAACTATTAACTTATATTTTTTTAGGCAAATTGTAGATTTGTTTGCTTATACTATATTGCAAGACAATGGCTAATATAAACTTACAAGAAGTATTGAGAGAGAATGAAAGTTGTGTATAAATACATTTTTTCATTACCACCATTTAATTTAAAAGATATAAATAATATGGCTGAACAACAACAAATAAAAAACAATTATTAAATTTAAGATTACTCCTTCAGTATAAAATTTTCGATCAAATATTACATTATAAAAAAAACAGTAAATATTACATTTGTAAAAAACAAAGCATTCCTTCAATGAAGAAAATAATCTACAAATTAGGATTTTCAATAAATGACCATAGTGAGATATTAGATGCTTTGTGTAACTGTACTAAAATATAAATATGCTAATACATAAAGTAATTTATAGAAACTTTAGTATAACCAATAATCTACTTTCTTGGAGTCAATAAATACAACAAACATTTACAGAAAAATAAAAACAAACTTTTTCAAAGAACTTTTGGATAATCAAGTTATCAGATTAATTAATATTATTCCACGATCAAGTCCTTCATAACAGAAATCCATTATTATAAGTTCAGAGAATTCAGATCTAGGAATGCAAATTTTTTAACTTCCAAGATATTTTTCAAATATCTCTTTTCACTCAAAGAATGAATTTGTAGTTTTTTGTTTATTTCTGCTGAAAGAAATTATTTCCAAAATTTTTATTTAGGATGAAGAGTTAAGGTCTGAAATTGATAGAAATGTGAAGAAACAGACAGATTTAAATTATTTAAATTTTCTATTCTGTGCATCCATACACACATCAACTCTTTAGCAAAATAAAATCAAAACCAATAAGAAAACAAATGATAAACAATGATGTTAACCAAACTTTTGCTAAAGGACAGTGTATAAGTTTAATAAGGTCTATTGTTGGGCTTATACATTTCTAGCTTATTTCAATTTTTTTATTTAACTAACTGTAAGTTATAAAAATATAATAGAATTTGATTTTTAAAAATATTAAATACTTAAATACTACAAAGCATATCTTTTATCTTAATTTGGATCTAAATATGATCAAATTTTAGAAATCAATTAAACAAAAGATAAATGTTTAATTGTTTTAAGAATTTTAATTTCTTAATCATGGCATTTTATTATTACAATAGCTTTATGATAAACTGTTATAAGATGCATCTGGTAAATTAAAAAACAGGCACATTAGTGAACAAAAGTTTAAAGTTTATACATATGAAAAACAGGATATGGTTATTGCAAAGATTACAGAAAATAAATAAATAAATAATTAAAAGAGAAATTTTTCAAGTTAGTACACTAGAAAAATTAATTCAAAATTTATTGACAAATCAAAAAAATTACTTAAATAGATTTATAATAATAGAGATTTATATGTAGCATTAAACAGTTTACTTTCACAACTTATATTTATTATTTTTCATTGTATCATCAAAAGATGATGACATATGACTTTGTTCAAAATAAATAAACAAATAAATAAATATATATATACATATATATATACATACAGTCAAACTCAGTTATAATGAACATGGATATAATGAGCAAAATGCCATAACAATTTTAATTTATGTGTATTTCCATACATTTTCTTACGGTTATAATGAGGATATATCAAGCAAATTTTTTGATAGCTATGCAAATACATGAACATTCTTAATTGTTCTAGTAGTAAGAAATGTGATACCAAAAATTCTTGGAAGAGCTAAAACTAAAAGAATTGCTTAGTTTTATGACCACTGGATAATTAGTTTTACAACCTGCATTGATTACAGGTCTTTTTATCACTTAGCATTCTTTTTGGAGACCATTCCCCTCTTTCTTTTGGCCTTACTCTGCCAATTTATCTAATCATGACTATGATTGTGTAAAATTACCATATATTCTAGTTAGAAACAAACCCTTATATGAGAAAGATGTCTATGAAGAAAAGAAAATGTCTCTTGGTTTATCAGGAAATAGAAATTTTTGTGTATTAGAATGTGGTGCTAAAAACATTGAAGTGTGTAGAAAGTTTTCTTTGTCATCTTCAACAGTACCAACATAATCAAAAAATACAGCAGTCATCAATTTTAAGATTTGTACATAAAATGACTAACTGAAATCGAGCATATTATTAATTAGTTATATCTTTACAAAAAAATAAATTGTTAAATATTAATTATATTGTAGTTTATATAACTATTAATAAAAATACAGTATAATGTAATTACATATATATTTTTTTGATTCAACTTATTTAGAATTAAAAATTAAAAGATATACTACCAATAATTAGTGAAATCTAACTACAAATTTACCATCCATGCACTCTCCCTACATGTTTGTGCCCAAAGCAGCCATCCGTTCTCCTCCAGTTACATCACTGCTCTTCATGAACATAATGAGTAACAGTTATAATGAAGAAATCTTGCTGGTCCACTTATGTTCATTATAACAAAGTTTGACTGTGTATATATATATATACACAGTCAAACTTTGTTATAATGAACATAAGTGGACCAGCAAGATTTCTTCATTATAACTGTTACTCATTATGTTCATGAAGAGCAGTGATGTAACTGGAGGAGAACGGATGGCTGCTTTGGGCACAAACATGTAGGGAGAGTGCATGGATGGTAAATTTGTAGTTAGATTTCACTAATTATTGNTATAAAGAATACAACATAAAGTTCAAACAAATTGGCATCACTTAATTATAATTTTTTTAATTTGTTCAAACTCTTAGTTTTATTCTTTATATTAACCTGAAGAAGTTCTACATTAAAAGTTATAAGTGTTCTGTAGTTTTCATGTTTTTATTTAATTTTAACAATGTCTTGCATATTTATTATTTTATTAACTGAAAAAAATATTATGAAACTTGTATATATTTGTTAAATTCAATAATTGATTTTTACTAAATCAAGATATTGAAAACATTAATTAATAGTTTGACATCTACCAGCAAATTTTCACTAGACCAAAAAAAATGAAAATTATATTATGAAGGCATATAGTGCTGTATAATGCATATAGTTGTACAGTACAATCTCAGTAATCTAGGCCTTCAGTAGTTTGACATGTTCAGTAATCTGACACTAGTGGACTCTCAGGTATTACCAGCACTTCTGCCTAGTCATAGAAACTTCCTAATAAATTTAAACATGTTTCCACTAAACATAACATGGTATTGAGCTTGAACATTTGTGCAAATATAAAAATCAGGGTATCTCTTTTCACTAGTATCCACTAATGTGTTGAGATCAGATTGAACCTCCAGACTTTCTACATAAGTCACTGAAATACGGCACTATGTTTGTACTGGTGTCTACACTAAAACAAGAAATCCCATCCCTAACATGGAAAACTTCTTATATTAGCAGAAAATACTACCACCACACTTACCAGAATTTTCTCTGATGGCAAACAATCTTCTACTGTAAAAATCCAAGGGTTGATTATGAAGAAATCAGTATTCCAAAATTTCCCACCAAAAAGTTTGTACCTCCTACTAAATTTAGTGAAAATCTACCAATTAGGCAATATTAAATAACAGTATGCTTTGATATTTTGATCAGTGGTCCAATTTATGTTTTGTTTCATCATTAATAATTGACTTCACATTGTCAAGTTCATTTGTGTGCCATTGAATTACCTTAATTTCAATAATCCGGCAATTTCCATAATCCAACACTGTTCCCATATTTGTTAGATTAATGAGATTGCACTGTATATCATCATAGAAAGCTCATAATTTTTTCTATTAATTTAGTTTTTATTCAACATTATTTATATAAAACTGTGTGTTTGTTGTTAAATTCATTGTGATTTCATAATAAATTTAACAACAAACACACAGTTTTATATAAATATTTTTAGAAAAGTTCAATATTTTATTTCTATTGAAGAACTCATTTTGTTGACAATTAATTTACATAATAATAATTATGTATTTTAAAAACAGATTTGAGTTGGCTCCATCAAACAGTATTTTTACACAATTATTATTTATATTGATATTTTTCAAATTCATGCACTGTAACTTTTTGTCACTCAACAAGAAAACTTTTAAACCTTCTGATATGTTTATCCAACACCATATTTTTGTAACAAATTTCTGTGACTTATTATTTATTCAAAACATTCATAAATTATATGATAATTTTTGCATATGAATTATCATAATTTTAAAAAATGACACGCTTATATAATTTTTAAATATAACTTTTGAAATAAAACTAATGTAATAACATAATGAAATATAATTTAACAACACTCTATCCAAAACTTGTTACCAATGTGTTTTGTTTATAATACAGTTAATCACTAACGTTTTCGAACTGTTAAATAGTTCTTCCTCAGGTGAAATATACTGAATAATCAATGGAACACATCAAAATAGAACGTGAATATTCAAATTAAATCAAACGCATGCTTGACGAAATTCGTTAGAATGGACATGCACATTTCGTGTGTGGATGGTGGTAATCTTGGTGTTCGTGTATTCTGGTTCCTAAGGAGCATTTGGTACACTGAGCAGACCTCCAACATGGAGGACACACCACGGCCCTTACTACTTATGTATCTGACCCTGATATCGAGATGGAATTTGACAAAGCCAAGCTCATCATCACTACGCCTCACCATGAACATCTAAGATGGTTAGAGCCATATTCATTTATAGAACGAGCCACAAGGCCATCTACATCAACCAAAAGGAAGAACTAAATTTATCTGTTGTCTGGCAGGCCTTATGGACACAGACCTTTAATTACCACCATCCACGCACGAAATGTGCATGTCCATTCTAACGAATTTCATTAAGCATGCGTTTGATTTAATTTGAATATTCACGTTCTATTTTGATGTATTCCAGTGATTATTCAGTATATTTCACCTGAGGAAGAACTATTTAACAGTTCAAAAACGTTAGTGATAAACTGTATTATTCACAAAACACACTGGTAACAGGTTCTGGATAGGATGTTGATTTCCATCCCTGGTGTTGATGTATTGTTGATCTTCATATAATTTATTTTAAATTATTTGTTTTATATTGATTAGTAATATATATTTAATACTACAATAAAAATCTGTAAGCCCAAAATTAATACATATTTTATAAATTGAATTATTACCTCCTTCATCTTCTGAATCACTCATAAAAGTTTCTTGCATAATTTCTGGTGCAACAACTTTATATTTTTCTTCAGTTACAGTAGTAGTGGTGGTAGTCACTATAGTTTCTGTTACCACTTTGAGTGTTTCTACAACAGATATATATCCCAATCTCTGAGCAATAGATAATGCAGTTTGACCTTGCTATATAAATAAAAATAAATTTTTAAAATTATTAATTGAATTTAATATATAGTTCCATTATAATTAACTCATAATTAGTAAATACACTAATGTAATTTTATATTCTACTGTTTATTTTGTTTCTTCTTAACAAAAGTATTTAAAGACAAAAAATATAGCTATCAAGGTAGAAAAAAAAGTAATTAGGAGATATGATGCCACAGAATATCTCTATATATAGCTAATTTTTTAGACAGAAAATTAATGTGATTATTAAACAATAAATTTTTGTCAAACACAATGCCCAAATCATTAATCATATGGACAAAGTTAAGATGATGAGTACTTATGAACAAAAAAGACTGTGTCAGGTTATGTAAAAAGGAATAATAGATTACAGCTATTTTGTTAATATTAACCTAAAGGTTATATAATTACATTTGAAAAATAAGTTTATAACATCAACTGGGATCAAAAGTGCTTGTCTTAGCTGGTTTAATTTTAAAGGTTTTGTTGGTATTATTTACTAATATATAACCAGCTGTGAGAAGATTTAGAAATAAGAAGTTACTTATAATACAAAACTTTGTGAGATCTCATACAGTGGACATAAAAATCTTAAAAAGAAAATCACAAAGTTTAATTTTCAAAGTACAAGATAAAAATTAATTATTATACCATAAAATGAAAGTGGGATGTATATCAAATGAATTAGAGTGTATCCAGTAATAACAAAACAACAACAGAATCAAAGACTTGGCTGACATCTATATATATAACATATGTAGTTTTTTTTTTATTTTTGAAATTATTAATTATATCAGAGAGAGTAGAGATCAAATTAGTAATGGTAGATTTGTGGTAAATGTTAAGTAAAAAAATATGAATTGGCTTATTATTCATTGGAAAAAGAAGTGCAAAAGATTTATTTTAAATAACAATTCTTGAGTTGTTTGTAAACCTCTTAGACCTTATGAACAGGAATTAATTGTGACTTTAACAGAGTGCATTTAGAAAACTTAGGGATAACCCCCAGAAGGTTTTTGAGTCAAATGCAAAACAATTTATCACAGAATTAAAATAATCAATATATCTACTTAATACTCTTATTTTTTGTTTTGTATATCTAATATTGTGACTTACTGCATTTATATTTTTTTCTGTAATGTTTCAAATAAGTAATATTTTATAAAATATATAACATAAAGTATATTTATTAACTACAAACAAAAATAAAACTCTTGCAAAGTTATTTTACTGATATTCTACTATAAACTTGCAATTAAAAAAATTTATAACTATTTGATTGTTGTATGATTATTTCATACATCAGTGCTGTTATATTTTAGAAATAAAATTTTGAAATATTTAATTATTAAAAAACAACTGCCAATTTTTAAATCAATCATTACATATGAAACCAAACTAAAAATTTTATTTCCAGAAATTTTTTGATTAAAATAATTTCTGCAATATTAGATATATTTTCACAGAAAAAAGCCTTTCCTGTAATAAAAATAAACAAATTTAAAAAGCATAATATTCATTAATACTAAGAGAAAACAAAACTGTAATCTTTGTTACATATTTTTAAATAACAGACTAAATTAAACATAAAAATATTCTTACATTTGTTGTGTGATTTGGAGAAGCATTATTTTCCAGCAGTAGGTTAATAATTAAAGTATGTCCTTGTTGGGCAGCCTGATGAAGTGGTGTATATCCATGCTATAATTAAATATTTATTTCATTATGATCATCATCACATAAATTGCATTAAAAAAATAAATATTTTACAAAATATTCTATATTAACAATTGCAAGGGCTGATCATTTAGTTCACGGAATAATATTTGAATTTTTCTTATTAGCATTTTATGAGACTTCTGACAATTTGTCATATTCAAAAATACACTCCATTGACCTGTATATTCTGTATCTCTTCCATTACCATTCATCATATGATTTCTGGTATACAACTTTAGAGATACATTAAAAATTGTCATTGTAACTTTGTATGCTTCTTTGTCAGATATGAAAAACTTGTCTTTTAGACCTTTCATCAGTTGCAAAAATGGAAAGAAATTACAAGGGACTAAGTTCCATAAACATTGGGAATGTGGAAGAACCTCAGTTCTAATTTAATGCTGGCTGCACAAGATTGGTAGCAAATTGCTTCCTTATTCAGAATTGTTCAAGATATAAAATGTATATCTGCACACCTTTTACCTCAAAAAACATAAATTAAACAAGAGCAATGTTTCTTCAAAACAATCATCAATGACAGACCATTAATAAAAGATCTACAAACAAAATTAAAACAAAAAAAAACTGATCAGTATCTATGGAGGCTGGTCACAAAGCTTCAGAGAAGACAATTGTCACATTTTCCCAGAAAGTTATGTGAAGAAAACATTGAAATTATTCCATAAATTAAATGATCAGCCATTGTTTAATGTATTTCAAAAATTAAAAATTATCATTATTGATTCAAACTGTTATTGAATACCGTACTTATTCACGTATAAGACAATCTCACATATAGGACAAGGTGTGACTTTAGAGATCAAAATAAAGAAAATTAGATTTATTAATAATAGACTGTAGACCTATACTGGCAGCACAGTTCACAGAAATTATTGCAAAAACGTTTTGGGTTTTAGACCAAATAATCACAGATCTTAAAAAAATAAAATAATTTTATTTGGAACAGGAGTACAAGAATTGGCACCAGTACAACACATGTGGTAAAAATGAACTTGAGAGGGAGACAAAGACTATGTCAGGAGATGCGTCAAAGTGTTACCTGGTTGGTCACAATGCAAATAATCCTTTGCTCGCATGTATAGGACAACCTAGGTTTTTGAAACAGCGAAAAATAAATGAAAACCTCATCTTATACGCGAGTAAATACGGTAGATATAATTTATAAATAAATAATTTTTTAATATTAATTTTTAGTATTTAAATAATTACTTTAAAAAATAATTTTGTTACATTGATTATATTAATCAGTGAAAAATAAAATTATAAATCAATGTTATAATTAAAAAAAACTTAATCATAAAAGTTAAAAAACTAAAATTGTAATTCTATCTGTAACACTGTTTACTTCATGTGCAAGAGTATTTCACTTTGATTGTGAAATTTTATCAATTTGATAACAAAGTGTCTAGCATAGAAAAATCATTATTCATACATTATGATGTTAACGTGTTTGTTTCTATTAAATTGCACTATTTCTTTTTATTCGCTAAACATTTTGGAGCTTGTTTAGTTTTCTGTTTACTTTCAAAGCCAATTCAGCAACAAGCTCAATTGGCTTTGGGATTTCACAATCTTCAGTTGAATTATGTTGCCATTAATCATCCTGTACATTGCTGATAAATTTGTTCACTTTTATATTTAAAACTAAAAAAATAATGGCACATATAATTATTTATATTTTAAAATTACTCTTTATCTACTCTTGTTCATTATAAAAAAAAATTACAAAGATTTTTTTTTTCCTGCAAAATAAAATAAACTAGAATATTCTACATAAAATACAAATAGTGTAATATTTTCACATATTAATGCAGAGTGCTAGAAATTTTGTACCTGGGTACTCAAAATACTTGAAGTCAGTTTTTGCAAATGGCTTAAAAAACTCATTTTTTTTCTTAAGATTTAAATAAACACAGACTGTTCACATTAAATTTAACACTAATTAATCATTATAATACATAAAATTATTCCAAATTCTATTTTAATAACAATAAAATATTAATTTAATGATAGTAACAGTTTATGCAGGAGTTATATTCTGAAAACAAACACATAAACAAAAATTTGTGCAACTGAGAAATACATTAAATTTCAGATGATTTCCTTAAATGCATAATTATTAGATTAAAATAATTTTTCAATTTATGCCTAGTATAAAAAAATATCTTATTTATGTCAGCAAATTAAAAGTTAAAATTTATGATGAAAACATAGCATATTGTACAAAACCTATTTAAAAATTCAACTAAGCCACTTCTATAATAAAAATTTATGTGGCTTATGTATACACAATATGCATTATAAAAATATTTTGCCCACATATAATTGGCATATTGCTGCAGAAAAACTAATTGGTACTGGTTAGAATTTTATGCACATTTATTTGATATAAGTATATTATTGAATCCTTTTTTTCCCTCTTAAAGAATGTACTAAATATAAAATCTAACAAATGTATCATATATAATTTTTATTTGACAAATTTTAATGACAAAGTTTTAAATCATAACTTACTGAAGTAATGGCATTTACATCTGCACCATGTTGTAGAAGAAAGCGAACCATGTTTATTTGTCCAAAATGACAAGCAACATGTAATGGAGTATACCCTGCTTTTGTCTGAGGTCCTATTTCAGCTCCGTTCTTAACAAGAATGGCAGCAACATTCACCCTATCTTCTTGAGCACAGAGATGCAGTGGTGTTAAGCCATTCTACACAAACATAAGAAAAAGTTTAAAAGATTGTTTAAAAATGAAATATCAAAAATAATACTCCTTATATTTTAGAGTATAAAATCTAATAATCAATTTTAAATTTAGATTCACCTCAATTTCTAATCTTTCTGATATTAAAAAATAATACTTAAATAAAAGACGTATAAATACTTAATGCATTTAATAAATAGTTTAAAGATTAATTCTTTAAGAATTATTTAATCAATCCTTCTTATATCAATCATTGATATCATCTTTAATAACAGCAATGATCATCCACAAACTATCTGTTAAACAGTTGTCTCATTTTGATATAAGGACTATGTACTGTACAAGGCCAGACATATGCAAAGAAATTTAATTAATTAACTGAATTTCCTATAAGAACTGATAATTCCAAAATAGCACTTGCCTTGTCAAATATCTTTATTTCATTAAATGGTAATTTATGAAATAAAGATGCTTGAAAAAGTAAGTATTATTTTGGACTAATGATTTCTTATAGAAAATTCAGTAAATTAAGTATCACAATATGGTTCCAGGATTCACTATTTCAAAACTAAATTAAATTAGTCTTTTTGATACCAATAACTGTTTTATTTCAAATCACTTTTACATTCGCATTACATTTTGTCCATAAATTATATGAGATAATGTACATAAATTTTAATTTTAATAAAAATTAAAATTTTCATTAAAATTAGAATAATAAATGATAAAAGAAAAACTTTAATAGCAACTAAAATAATCAAAAAAAGATTGTTTTAGAATATAAGTTTATAATTTATCTATACAATAATTTAAAATTATTGTATAGATAAATTATAAATTGTTTTTCCAGAATTAAATTAACTATGATTTTTTAATTATTCAATTTTTAATTAAATAAATTACATATCAAGTTATTAATTCAAATATTAAAGCCTAAATAAAACAAAGTTCAAGAAATAGTTTCCTAAAGATAAATTATTAAGCAATCTTATTTATGTATTAACATTTTTGATATTTAAAATGTCATCTTTAAAACCTCATTTGTCAAGTTATTTAACTTTTTTACAAAATCCACCAATAAAAATATCTCAGACATCTATTTAGCCATTTCTGAAAAATGTCTACAAATAATAATTACCTTAGCTGAAGAATTTACATCTGCATGATGTTCTATGAGAAGTGTAGTCATATCTGTATGACCTTCTTGAGCAGCCAAATGCAAAGGTGTAAAACCAGCCTAGTAAGTTTAAAAATTAAACAAAAATTAATATAATAAAGTTATAATAAGTATATTTAATATAGCAAATATAATATAAAGTATTATATGGATTACTTTTGACTCTGCATTTGGTTTTGCTCCATATTCCAGAAGAGTAGTGGCTATGTCCATTTGATTCTTTTTAGCAGCAATATGCAAAGGTGTGTATCCATTTTTAGCTGTAGCATGTGGAGATGCTCCTTTATCCAAAAGTAGCAAGGCAACATTTACATGATCATAATGAGCAGCAACATGTAAAGGTGTAACTCCATTCTTAATAAATTAAAAATATTAAAATATTTTATGAGAATTATTATATGAAATTATAATATTACAAGAATATTATACAAAATTATATTTATAATAATTAAAAAAAAAATTAATAAAGAAATTCAGAAATATTTCTGACAAGAGATTAGCATTCTGTTTATTCTTTTAGATGATGATGATCTAAATCAAAGTTAAAAACATTTCTAATTAAATATTTTTTGGTGACATGAACTACAGCAGTTTGTTTATTTTGTTTTTGCTGTTATTATTATGATGCAATGTTTTGTGGACTTTCAAAATGACATATTTAAATAAAACAAATTAACATTTTTGGAAATATTATAAAATTTTAAATATTTTCTATTTTACACTGTACGTTCAAAAATGCTTTAAATTAAAACAAATTTTATAAAATATTTAAATTGATAATAATAATTTGTATAAAAATATCAAAAAATAAAACATACAACTAAAATAAAACAACAGATATATTATAATGGTTTAAGCATATAACTAATTTCTAGAAAATTTCAAATTTATATCCATAATAAATTACTGTATATCTTGGCAGATAAGATGAGGTATAAATTTTCATTAAAGTTTTATAGTTTTAGCATATATCTGTCCTATAAGATGACCCCCAAACTATCAATGGCCTATGAATTTAGTTTAGATCAGCAATCATCATCTGAATAATAATACTGTATAGTGTATACGGAATTATGTCCTATTTGTAATTTTTCAAATAAACAAATTTTTTTTCTTGCATCTGGCAGCACTGCCTTATAATTGTTGCAAACATTCGCACTGATTAGGCATCTGGGTAATGACCTTGACTATTCACAAAAATGTCGTATGGGCTACTCTATTTTGTGCAAATACCCTACTCTTTCTACTAGTAAATAATTATGGTTTGTCCGTTTTTTTATAATGGTTTTAATTTATATAAATTTCAATCTAATTTTTTTTTATCTGTCCTATAAGATGACCCCGAATTTTGGGAGCCATTTTTATGATTCAACTATCGTCTTATCTGCTGAGATATATGGTAATAAATTTACATTTTTGTTAACTTTTCTAATTTACATTAGAAAATTTTGTGGTTTTTTTGGAAATTCAATTTAATTACATCGCAAAACATATATTTTCAGTATTATATGTTAAAACTAATTTAACAAATGATGCAATATTTGCATAGTAATTTGATATTTAATTTCTTATTTTGAAGATGTTCATAAAATTCAACAAAAACAATAATTATTGAATTGAAAAATTAAAATACACAGAATAACCAAAAATCCAGCAACACAAACATTTAGAGAATCAAACCTAAATGCAAAATTTCCAGCAAAGAAACACCCAAATTCAATACAGTCGACCCCCCCCTATAATATGGTAGATAAGTTCCACTTTATACAAATTTTGTGTTGTAGGAATCCTTAAACACATGAGCCAATCACAGCCCGGCACGTGTGCAGTTTACAGACTACGACTGTTTGAAAGGTTTTCTTCCATAAAATTAATCGATTCTAGACTAATTTGACTCAACATTTCCAAAACACGTATAATTTTTTGGGAATAATCCATATAAACTATGCTATAAACAAAAAATTGTAGGATTACTTACCAAGTGTGCACTGTTCGACAATGCCATTGCTTAAGCTTGTTTTCATCGTGGAGCAGCACACCAAATGGCGGGCGCATTTTCTAATATGTTATTTTTCTGCGAAAAATTCACTGAACTTTGGAGACGTCATTAATAGAAATAATTTTTATTGCCGTTGAAAGAAATGTTTTTTCACAAGAAATGTATAAAATTACAGTACTGTATTAGATTTACAATACCTAATTTATATACTGTATAGATGATAGTAAACTCAACTTATCAGCCTAAACTCTCCGTAGCGTGTAAGTAGTTTGGCTGCTCGTCCACTATTGGTCCAGATTCAACCAATCCTGTCACAACACGAGTCAGCGATGACGTTTTACTGAATTTTACAAGTCTCTTTTAGCATCTTTATATGAATACGGTTGCAATTTTTTTGCCACGATATATGAATCCACATTATATGAACCCGCATTATAGGGGATCTACTGTATTTGAACGTTTTTGACCACAACTTTATTGGCCCTCTTCAGAAAATGAAAACAAAAAAAAACATTCTATTTATAGAATGTAGCTGTGTTCTAATTTTAAAAGTTTCAAAAAAAGTTCAAATAAAGACTCTGACATATTGTATATGATGTATATTTTAGGAGTCTAAATACAGTAAACTCCTGTACAACATGCGACTAGTACATCGAAATTCGAATTTTCTCGTTCACAGGTATACTTTTTTTAACTTCCATTATCACACAATTTATGTGAGTTTAAACCTAGATCAAAAAGTTAAAAAAAAAAGTATACCTCTAAATGACAAAATTCGAATTTTGCATATGTACTGTACTAGTTGCACATTGTACAAGAGTTTACTGTAGTATATAAACATTTTAATCAAAAACAAATGTTTTCAATTGCTTTTACTGACCATCTTCAGATTTACACCTATTACTAACTTAGAACAAAACTTACAATTTTAAACTAGATGGAACATTTATTTGATTGGTTATGTATGCACTCATGGTATTGGTCATTCACATATCAATGAAGCTCTTATGTTACTTCAAATAAAGATTTTCATACTGGCAATATTGTTTCTGATTATTTAAAATTTACAGCCCCTGCAATCTTATTGGCTTTATATATTTTCATTCTTTCCAGGTGTTTTAGATGGGTTCTTCTCAGGTATGATGTATTATTTACACGTTATCTATCTAGGTATGCCTGCATCTGATTGTCAGTTGCAAACACTTTCAACACTGTTGTTAAAAAACTCTTCTTGATTGACTCTTCATGTTCCTTTATTCATAGGTTTAAAGATGCACTGTGGCCCCAATGTATTCTTTTTACCCACTCTATTATCTATTAATGAAATGGAGTAGACTCTCAGAAGGTTGTCCAGGTTTTCAAAATCTTTAGCATTTTTAAGTAAAGATTAGATGAAAATATTACTCTTGTATGCTATTGCTTGCATTTATTGGCCTTAGCTATTTAATTGTGGATATTGGTAAGTTGTTTGAAATATTTAACAGTCTAGAAAAACTTCTCCTTGTTCTTTTTCTTAGTTGACAATTGATGTCAATAAATTAAACCTCCAATGATTTTTGTAGGATATCTGTGTTGCATTGCAATTTCTCTTAAATAATTTAGTTCCTTCTCCATGCTGGAAGAATGCATGAAGGCTCTTTTGACTAGTGCCCAAAATGCCATTATTTTAAAGAGAACAGGTTATTTGATTCCACTGATATGAACAGGGGGGCCTGTATATAGATTTATGGAATATCTTGGTGCAAATAAAGCCATCCTGCCAGGTCAGAATTACATCCAAAAATTGGATATNTTAATCAATCTTACCTTATTAGTAGCTGTCAAAGAAGCACCATGATCTAATAAAACAGAAGCAACTTCTTCTTGTCCTTCCTTAGCAGCAATATGCAAAGCTGTATACATATCTTTTGTTGTTGCATCAACTGCAGCTCCATGTTGTAATAATAATGTATATAGATTTATGGAATATCTTGGTGCAAATAAAGCCATCCTGCCAGGTCAGAATTACATCCAAAAAATGGATATTGTTGTAGCTTTTTTCTTCCACACACAGGCAGAGTTTAAAAGAGACTTTACTATATTGTGTTAATTAATTAATTAAGTACTGTTTATTCTGTTGCTAGATTTTAGGTTACTGTCTTTTTTAATATTTACATCAGTTTTCTGGTGCAACAACTTTATATTTTTCTTCAGTTACAGTAGTAGTGGTGGTAGTCACTATAGTTTCTGTTACCACTTTGAGTGTTTCTACAACAGATATATATCCCAATCTCTGAGCAATAGATAATGCAGTTTGACCTTGCTATATAAATAAAAATAAATTTTTAAAATTATTAATTGAATTTAATATATAGTTCCATTATAATTAACTCATAATTAGTAAATACACTAATGTAATTTTATATTCTACTGTTTATTTTGTTTCTTCTTAACAAAAGTATTTAAAGACAAAAAATATAGCTATCAAGGTAGAAAAAAAAGTAATTAGGAGATATGATGCCACAGAATATCTCTATATATAGCTAATTTTTTAGACAGAAAATTAATGTGATTATTNAATTTATAATAATAAAATATAGTAAAACTTGGTTAACTTGAATTGATAAGGGGAAAAAATTCAGACTTTGAGTTAAAAAGTTTAAAGTTACAGAGGTTAGCCTAAAAATCAAGTTTTTGTGCATTGGTTTATTAGTGACCCAAAATAAACAGTAAACACAAGAAGTACATTCAGATTTCTAAAGTAAATGTATTTAAACAGCTCTATATCTCATATTAGGCTCAGAGTTTAAAAATTAATTGCAGCATTTTAAATTTATGATAAATTTCATCCAATCAGAATGCAAGGCTAAGCCAAATTCTCTTAGAAAACACTGTGATCAAAATCTTATAATGTTATTACTGGAAACATGTTTATATTTATTTAGTTTTTAAAACTAACTGATAATTGAAATGCAAAAATCTTTTTTCATCATTATATTTTCAGTGTTTTTTTCTACTGTATTTTTAAAAAATATATCTTACTTCTCTATGTTGTAAGCTGAAACCTACTAATAATACCTACTGCTGGAAACAGTATGGAAGATGCGACTTATTACATTATACTTGCTAAGATTTAATATAATCAAAATTCACAATTACTTCCTGTAAAACTTTGGTGACAATTATCTAATGACATGCAATGAACCTTAAACACTTCCAGCAGGACAATGATGCAGGCCTCTGAAGAAGGTTGTTTATGGTTCATGACATGATCATAGTGTGTTTTGATCAATTCAGTTAAAACAAACTCTTTAGTTGATTTAGTTATACAGTAGAGCCTCAATTATCCGACTCAATTGGGGACTGGGGTTGGTCGGATAATTGAAAAGTTGGATAACCGAAAGTATGAAAAAATCCATTATTAGTGTAGTATATTATTATACCCCATGTAATTAGTATATTAGTATATAGCTATTAACCTATTTCACGTTGAATTTTCATCAATGTTAAGCCTAACAAAAATTTTTTAAAATAATAATTGTCACTATTGTATCGTTAAAACTTAGAAAATTAAGCCTCGTTTAAATACTGGCTCCATTTTATGGTCGAATGAGTGTTGCCAGCTAAAACACACAAAAATAATATTAAAGTAGCCAAGACATAGCCAAATATTGTAGCGCCACATCACTAGCAGACATTTGAAATTTGCCGACTAGGACAATCGGTTAATTGGGGGTCGGATAATCAAGGCTCTACCGTATAACTAAAAGCCAAATTAGCCAAACACAAAAAAAATGGCCAGAGGAAACTTTGATCATATGTCACTTTTAAAAAGAATTAAAAATATGTTTTAAGTGTTAAAGTAACTGATATGGTGAGTGATGCCTTGTTTAGTGTTAAAGTTTACATTTATCTATTAGTTACTTCTGTTTATCTTCAGTCATACTATATATAATAATATAAACAACCAAACTCTAATAGATTATAAATGAAATCATTAAGATACCAGATTATCATTTTAATATTTTGAATATGAATGAATCAATCTTACCTTATTAGTAGCTGTCAAAGAAGCACATTGATCTAATAAAACAGAAACAACTATTTCTTGTCCTTCCTTAGCAGCAATATTCAATGCTGTATACATATCTTTTGTTGGTGCATAAACTGCAGCTTCATGTTGTAATAATAATCCACCTATATCAACATTACCAAGACAAGCAGCAAAATGTAATGGAGTTTGTTGCTCCTGAAAAATTATTTAAATTATATATTTAAAAAAATAAATATTCTTATTTCTTACTGACTTATCAGAAATTTTATATATAAATTAGTGATGTGCCAGATATCCATATCTGTATCCGCAGATATCTGAGGGGAAAAAAAGTCCGTATCCGTTACTTTTTAGCAGATCTTTAACAGATCTTTTAACTTAATGGATTTCATTGCTTATATGATATTTTAAAGATAGGTAGCAATAAAATACTAATAACTTCAATTAAAATCACTTTTTATTTCTTAAAATCACATATTTGGCACATTCATATTGCAAAAATTTTATCATGCAAAATTCATTTACCATATTACACTACTAAACTTTTTTGTCGACATTGCTTTTATTTTAATTTAACTCAACACTCTCCAAAGATACAAACATAATCTATGCTATCCCGTGTCACACTAAACTATAAACAAAAACATGTGCAGTGCAAGTCAAAACACGTCGCATTACTAACACAAAGCATCAACTAACGGTCCAAGGTCACAAGGCACTGGCGCCAACTAAGTACAAAAGTTGAGATCCGTATCCGTGGATCTAGACACGGATACGGATCTAGATCCACGGATCTTATCATATGATAAGATCCGTGGATTATCTAATGACCAACATTTCTATGACTAAACAAACTCTCTACAAAAGTATTACTAATATTAATAGTATTATTAAAGCAATAACTATATGATAAAGGCTTAACTACTTTTGAACACTTTTCCCAGTGTTGCTTATTCCACATCCAATGACTTTTCTCTTGCTTTGCTATCAACTTTTCACACTATTCCTCAGTCATTACATGATTGCTTCTAAGCTTTTCTTTCTCGATATCTTATGCATACATTACATGACTTCTGTCTTAAAAATCCTTACTTTCCACATATATATTTATTTACATATACATATATATAAAAAATGTTTAAGATGTGATAAAAGAATTCCTGATCTAGTTCAGAGTGAAAACAATTGACTGAATTATTAAAGAAAAATAATGTTTTCTCTATACACCTTAGAATTTGCATAAGTTACTAGCTTGTCTGATATTCTTTTTAATTTCATGCTATTAAGATGTTTTTATGATTTTTATAATGATTAATACAAAAAAGTAATGCATTTATAAAAAGCTTGTGTTAAAATTAAGAAATGATGGACATGAAAAAAATTTTTAACAACAAATTTCAGAGTGACAACAATTTTTGAAATACATAATGGATAAAATTATTTCAGATTTAACTGCAAAATTTGATAAATAACTTACTATACAAAAATATAAATAAATTTCATTAATAAATTTTAAAAATTTCATGAAATAAATATAACATACCCTAGCACAAGCATCCACATGTGCTCCATTACGTAAAAGAATACGTATGATATCAGCTTGATTAGCACGAGCTGCTAAGTGCAAAGGTGTTTTTCCTCTAACTGTTGGAACATCTGGATTAGCACCATGTTGAATCAAAAATATTACTATATTCATACATCCCATGAATGAAGCCACATGTAATGGTGTCAGTCCTGACTGTAAAGGTTAATTAAAACTTAAAAATTTATATTTTTCCACAAGTTAAAAGTTTCAAAATTTCAACTCACCTCAGTAGTAGCTTCTATTGAAGCACCATGCTTCAATAGCAGCTCCACTACTTTAATGCGATTTTTTTTGCAAGCAATATGTAATGGAGTGAAACCATTTAATGCACGGGCATTGGGATCAGCTTTACGATCTAATAAGAGTTTTGCTACTCTTACATGGCCACAGTGTGCTGCCACATGCAAAGCTGTTAGATAATCCTATAAAAGAAGTGAATACTAAATTTTATTTTATAAACAAACTCTCTACAAAAGTATTACTAATATTAATAGTATTATTAAAGCAATAACTATTAGAAATTATTAAACTATATAGCAATTTCTGAAAAACTGTCTGTGAAACAGTTATAACTTCTTATTTGTAATCATTAAATAAAATTTTTTTTAATTCTATGAATGTCAGAATTTTCAGGATAAAATTCCTGTTCCAAGAACTTTAAGATACTTGAGAATTTCAGAATTCTTTATTAGATTTTCATTTAAACAAATATTCAGAGTAACAAATAGTGACCATTAAAAAACTGCTAAATTACATTACTGGAAATATTTTGAATACATACCACAGTAACATCATCAACTGGAGCTTTGTGATACAGCAGTATCCGGGCACTATCAACATGGTCTCCTTGAGCAGCCATATGGAGTGGTGCCAAACCATTCTAAAATCATTAAACAATTAATATTTAGGCAAATAAAATAATAATATAATATGCAAAAAGTTATGAATGAAATTAGTAGATATTGAAATCTATAGTAGATACATAAATTTGAAGAACCAGTGTTAAAAATTACTCTGGTACACATATGGTGACTAAAAAATAAAGTTCTGTTTTTGGAAAAATGTAACAATAACCAGTAAACAGTGTTTAATACTAATACAGTGGAACCCCGGTTAACGAACATTCTGGCTAAGGACCAAATCGGTTAACAAACTTTTATTTTGCAAAAGTTTTGTCTCGGATAATGAACAAAATTCGGATAACGAACGTAATGGTATTTTGTGTCAAATTTTAGTTGGTGGTAGGCATGCGCGAGTTAAGCATTGCTTTTCCGAGTGTTTGTGCTATACTTCTTTTTTCAGTTTTGTGATTTATATATTTAATCAATATGACATCCAAAAANGTTAGGCATGCGCGAGTTAAGCATTGCTTTTCCGAGTGTTTGTGCTATACTTCTTTTTTCAGTTTTGTGATTTATATATTTAATCAATATGACATCCAAAAAAGAAAAAAGTCATAGTGGCAATAGAAAATGACAACGCAATATAAACGACAATGCACTATCACATTTGAGAAAAATTTTGATTAAAAAAGTAAGACAATCAACTTTAGATCAATTTCTTGTTCCTTACGGAAAAGAGTTTGTTTGTTTGTTTGTTAAGTTATGGCAACGCAACACTTGGGCGATCTGCCTAGGGGGAATGCCTTCTTGGAGGTGTTTTTAAGGAAACTGGTCCCTATTTAGGCGTTACAGATGTGGAGAAAACCCGGAAAACTTCACGTGGCCAGCCCGTCTGAGCGAGGTGGAACCCACGAACTCCTCGTGTTCAAGGTACTAAGACCACTTAGCCACTGGTGGGTTTTTTACCGAGACTTCGACTCTAAGAATCTTCTGATGAAGTGCTACCCGTAATTTTTTTGGAGGGATTCCCCTTCTAAGCGTTAAGGTTCATGTATCTCCACTTTTCTGCCACCAACTACAACAAACGAAGGTATTATTAAACAAGGTTTACATGTTTGTTGCTGTAATGATAGATACTACATTTTCATCAAAGAAAATCTACTGTGTATTACAAATAAAATCACAAAAATTTCAGAGACTAGAACGGATTAATTGCATTTGCATTAATTTCTATGGGAAAAATTGCTACGGTTAACGAGCAATTCAGTTAATGAACGGAGTCGCAGAACGGATTAAGTTCGTTAACTGGGTTTCCACTGTATTTGTATATTTTTACTTTGTAAATGTACATATTTATATTGTAGAATTTATACTATTTTCTAAATTTTTTGTATATCTCTGTTGACACTTTTTCCCCTACTGCTTATCTTGGATTTAATGTCAGTTGTTAAATGGTACTTTCAGTAACCATGTTTTTACCTTTCTCTTTCAAAATATCATCATCAATGCTTCTTTGTAGCTTGTTTCCTAACAAAAACATAATTGGATAAGACAATTACCAGAGAGTACTATCCATTTACCAAAAATTGCTGTCCAACAAAAGTGGGGTCTCCATCCTATTTGCTTTTTTTTTTTTTTAAGCTCCATTTGGCCCAAGACATTCATTGTGGCCAACAACATGAATCAGTTCATTCATTTTTATCATGCCAGTCACCAGACTTATTGCCAAAATATATTTTTCTTACCAACTATCAGTACTATATACAGGTTATCAATACTTTTTATGCTATCTGTCAATACAGCTTACTGAACACATTCTGATTGAAAAATAGTATTGTAGAACCCAATCCCAAAAATATTTACATCTCTAAAAAGAATCAGAGATAAAAATTATTTCCAGAGCCTACAAATAGTCATTAGCATAAAAATTCATAATTAAGATTCTTAAATTTTAAATAAAATGGTAAAAAAGTACAGCAGATGGCTACGTTAAATAAAAGACTGATTCCTCTCAATTACAAAAAAAAATTAACAATACATGTTTAATGCTAATGTTTTTGAAATTACATAAATTATTTTAATAATAAATTAATTAAAAATTAATAAAATGGAGTTAATTTAATTTATAATAAAATCAGCATGTTAATAGAAATGATAAATTATATAATAAAATTATGTTATGAATTTTCACTTTAAAATTATGTAATTTTATACATACTTTTGTCTTAAAGTTTATATACTGTACACTTTTTTAAATAATGTAATTTTATCATTTAAAACAATTAGGAATCCCAAGTAAGGAATTTGTAGTGATAAGATGTATTGAATGATCCAATGTTTTAAAGTAGTAAATATGAAATTCATTCTTTTAAGAAAAATTTATTTTTACACAAAAAGATTTTTCTAAAAATTTTCTAAAATATCAGTATTTCTTTCTCTAAAAATATAAAAAGAAGAAAAACATAATGTGTAATTTTAAGAAAAATCACATTAATTCAAATTAATTTAAGAAAAGTAAATAAAATTATATATATTAATTTTTTTATAAATACACAAAAGATTTCATTACTTGAATTTTTACATAGACTATATGAATTTAAAAAATTAATAAATTAAAATTTTTATTATGTAATTAAACGCNTTAAAATTTTACTCAAATTATAAGGTCTTACATTTTAAATGTAAAATTTAATAATTTTTAAAGATTCTAATTTGAAAAATTAGATCCCTTACTAATTGGAAAAATAATTAAATTATATAAAAAATTTTATATGAATAACTTACCTAAAAGACATTAAAAATATACAAATTTTATGCTTTACACTTAGTTTTTGAATTAAATTTTAACATTAAATAAAAGCAGTTGAATTTTACATCTTTAATAATTCTGTATTAGTGTTCCCAATTAGCATTTGATATCTTTTTTTTTATAAAAAGTTCAGTAAGTTTACCAGGCATAAATTATTATTTTGCATTTTCTATTAACACAGTAAAAACATTAATCTATCAATAACTACAACCTTTTATAAATATAAAATCATATAAAGTTTTACTTTAAAAAATAACTATTTAAGACTGTCATAGAGATGATGTAACTTTATAAATCAGTCCCTTTCAAAAGAGTGACATAATGGAAGAGATGTAAAAGAACAGTGACATGCATATTGTATTGAGGCTGTGACAACTAAGAAAATAAAAAACTATTTTTAAGGAATCATAGTTAAATATCTCTATTCAAATATATTTCAACATGACAAGTTAAAACAATTCAAATAAAACAAACTAACAAATTTATACTATTATTCTATCATTAAAATCATATGTCTGAACTCATTATTAATAATGATTAGAGTTTTGGGATAGTTAGTGTTGACAAATGATCTGCCAGATTATTTATCAGGCTATATTATGGCTAATTTAATAATTATATACTAGGGCATTGTGCAACTTTGTCATATTGTGACAAAATTGAGATGTAGCCAGAAAGAAAGAAACAAGTCTTGAACTTGTTAGGCACAGAACAGGTGATCCTTATACCCAACAGTCACAGATAGGCAAACTGAACTTTCTGCCAAAAAAAGGGTATACTTGTTGCTATATACAGTATGTGCCAAAATATATAGTACTGAAACCCGTGCAACTCAAACATGCATGTTTGTTTGTTGATGGGGTATAGCTCCAGCCACACATTCTCAGTAGTGAAAAGAAAGGCAATGCTCTTCTGTCACCCAAGAACACATAGGGATACGATAATTGGACCATTTCTTCAGAATTTGAGAAGGTTCTGATGTGAAAAGAACCTCCACTATCTATTCATGACAGTGGTATCAACAGGACAGGTCAACTCAGCAATACTGCTCAAAAATTTCTAGCCATTCTGCAAGAAAACCTTCCAGGATGAATCATTTCATGCGGTACAGTAGAACCTCGAAAACTCGGCCTAATGTGGACCGAAGGGTGGCCAAGTTTGTGAAAATGCCGGGTTATCGGGAATGGGGTTAAAAAAATAAGTACGAGTGTTTCCTCAGAAAATACTGTACTGAACTTGTATGTATTGTTTACTTGAGAATATAACAGAGAATAAACTGCCCAAATACCCTTAAACAAAGGAAAAGTACGTCCTTTATGAAGTCATAGAGCCTTTACTACATGAAAATGAAAATTAATAAATACACTGTGTACAGTAATTTACCTAATAAGACAGACCTCAGAAAAATACTTTATGAGAGCTTTGATATTTTTATAAAGCTGTCTATAATGAAAATTAATTAACTAAGGTTTTTTTCGCCCTGCCAGGGTGTGGCCGAGTTATCCGGAGTGCCGGGTTATCGAGAGCCGAGTTTTCGAGGTTCTACTGTACTGACTTCCCATACTCATACCACCGATCTTACACCACCTTGATGCCTACTTGTAGGAAATGTTAAAGGAGAGTGTGTTCAACTGTAAAGATCTGCCAATAACAGTGCCTGTATTACGCAAGCAAATCATGTCCCTTTGCAGGAGTCTGCAGCAACCTTTGTTGCAAGATATATTTGTTTGTTGAGAATCTGCACGAATGATACAAACACTGTTCATTGCAAGGAGGTGCACACTTAGAATACTTACATTACACATACCATGGTAAATCAGCATGCTAATAGTGTGTATGTTAGTTTCAATTAGGAGAAATAAACTCACAGGACAACAAAGTAATATTGTTCATCTTTTCATTTCAGTACTGTATATTTTGGTGTATACTGAGTGTGGCTAGAGCATTTGGCACCAGGAACAAACTTAAATATAACACCTTTTGAATAAGCCTTTCATTAGTCTGTTACAAATTTTAAAATTATAAAATCACCTTTTATTAATATAAGGCATATTATATTTCATAACATAACTTTTCATACTCGTGACAATTTTCTATGAACTTATTAGTTTGCCAATATAACAATTTTGGAAGTTTGGCACTCCATCATCTTGGCATACTGGGCATAAACTTCCTCCGCCTTCCTATAATCCTGGTTGTACCTGCCAGTGATGGGAGAGGCAATTGCAG